TTGTTCACAATAAAATGCCGTTTGTATACAAATGCATGTGCCATACATGACGGCATCATCCTTTAATCATTGTTGTAACCACAAAGGCAGTATTAAATACATGCATACATACATACATATGTGTGTAACTATATTCACTTATACATGAATCCATGTGTCTGCAGGAAAATTCAATTCAAACGATCGAACGTTCAATGTTAGCCGAAGATATGTTAACAAGTACATATGTATATATGAATTTTTGAAATTTAAAATTGCGGATCCAACTTCCAAAAATTTATTGAATCCTCAATGTTGAATTCACCATATTAAATATTTAAACTTCATGATCATGTTCGTAAATAGCGATAAAAAGAAATCCTGGCTAACAAGTGCATCCAATCATTTTTCTAATTTTTGTCCGTCAAAAAATGCCATTCATCATTTATATTTTTCAAGTAAATAAACAATCTATTTTTAACTGAACCAATTTTATTCAACAATTTTATTGAGCTTGAGGCGGTTTTAAATGAAAATTTTTGTAGAAAAATAACAATAGGTGCTACTTTGGAGATAACCACATAACCACAGTCCTACAGGGACTCCAGTGTCCGAAGCTAGTAGTCTATCCACTGAGCTAAGTTCGCGATGTAAACTGTTGTTGCTTTTTCCAATGTTTTCATGTGTTAACAAAAATGTGTTAGAATAAATTCAATAAAGTATTAAAAAAGAGTTCAAACTATACCAAACGTGAATTTGTCACAAATTTTTATTAGTTTTACTTTTGATCTAGAAAGTTTTGAACTTGTTTTGCTTTGCTCTTTCCTAAAAGCTTCCTTTATTGCTAATAGCTTTATTGTAACTTTTGCAGTGACCTAAAATAAAAGGTATGATCGAAACTAAATGTCGTTCTTGTAATTATGTTCCCAAGAACTCCTCAAAACCAAAACCGAAATAAGAACCAAAATCTCGAGAAACTTCTCAATGGGAATTATATCAGAACAAAACCCTGGGGAACGTTCCGAAAGAGAACTAATTGCGAACAATACTTTCGGAAGTATTTCTAAGAGAATAAAATTGGAACAAAAGCCTAAGGAACTTTCTCTCCAATAACAATTTTAGAACCAAAGTCACAGGAATTTTCTGACAGAGAGCGAAACGGGAACAAATCTTCACTGAACTATACGCGAAAATGAAAGCGAGAAAAAAAGTTTCATATAGCGTTCATTAGTTTGAAATGGTTGAATATTAAAATTAGTCAACAAAGAACTGAAAGCTATTTATGCAAATTAAGTCAACGAAAGACACGAACTTTTCAAGTGGATAGTTAACCCTAATGCCATAGAATTACCAGGAGTGGTTCTCAATGTAACGATTTTTCATCCCAATACGCAGGCGCCCCTCTCATTCTTAACGTGAAGTTCTCAACACTTGTGTTCTCATTTTCTCCTCTAGCAGTACGTTCTCCAGACTTTTATTCTTATCTCATCCTCCTTGCAAACGTTGTCGATAATTTCGTTCTCATTTTGCTCTCATTGCACATGTTGCCGAAAGTATCGTTCCCATTATCTTCTACTTGAGAACGTTACCGCGAGTTCACTTCGCATTTTGTTCTTTACGGAAATGTTTCCGAACCTTTTATTCTCATTTTGCTCTCGTTCAAACAGCTTTCAATATTTTTGTTTCTGTTTGGTTCTTGCTTTTCAATTTAGTAGTGACGACTGTGCTAGCCCTAAAAGCTTCAAGCCCAGTAGCATGATGTCCTTCATGCTCAAATGCCAGCAGAGATTGGTTGAGTTGCGCATTCGTTGGGAGGCGTTTCCTTCACGTCCTCTGTATTTGCACCAACATGCCTATAAGGAGGGAAAGTCTTGAGAGACAGCTCTGCAAAGTCTGGTTGCCAGAAAAACCAAATAATTCGCGTTGAGTTCTGGGTGCTTTTGACAATGCGACCTTCGATAGCATCTGTAAGTCGGTTGGAATGTTTTGTAAGTCCTTTGTAATAAATCGTACATTTATGGAGTAAGCAGCTTCTCTTGACAAAAAATAAATGAGTGGAAAAGATTTTACTTAAAAAAATTGTTTGCGATTCTAAATACTAAAAAAATTATTTGCTTTCACCACCATGTAAAGATATTTTCTCCTTTCCATCCCTAACCGCCAAAAAGATTTAAGTGAAATTTTTCTAAAAATGTTTCTTTTTGATGCAAAAATGTTCCTAAAGCATCGTGCGCATTTATGCATTCAAAACTAAAATTAAAGATAATAATATCGCTTAGCTCTTTTTGGCGGCTGGGCTCGATATGCACCTCTGTGTTTTTAAATACTTAAACAAGAGCGTAAACGTGTGTGAAATTTTTTTCCCCAAAAGTAAATCAAATGTGCAAAAAATTCACTGAAAATTATACTTTACATAAACAAAGCGTAAATAATTGGAAGAAATTTTTCGAGAGCAGTTTAATTATGATTCTTCGTAATGCATTAGAACATTTATTGAGTTGGATCGAACAAACCTCTCCGCTGGCCAACATAAGTTGTCGTACTATATACATACTCATATACAGATGTACATATTTATGTATGCTTAGTTGAAAGTATGTGGGCACACAAGTCCAGTCTAGTCTAATTTACTTTATTTAAATACATACCTACAAATGTATGCACATATGTACATATGTATGTATGTATGCACATACAAATCTATGTGAGTATTTCGCACCGACTTTCTTTTTTCTAAGAAGATATTCGATCTGTTTGCGTTCATATAAGAATTTGATACTGCAATACTTTTCAATTATTTGCAGATCGTGTTGCTGCACATATGCATATATGTATGTATGTATATCTATGTATGTATATGTATGTTGCATGTCTTCTCCACAGGTGAGTGCTCACATTCTTCATTGTTGCAACAAACTTGTATACACCACTTCTCGATTGCTTTTATTGCTTTGCCAATTACGCAGTTACAGCCGTTTGTTGCATGATTTCATTACAAAAGTGTGTGTGAGAGAGAGAAACAAAAGTAATTGAAATAATTAAAAATGGAAAATAATTGTACACATATGGCCAAATAAGGTCACTATCGATACTTTCTTCAAATGTTTTTAGAGCAGCAAGTTTATGGTTATTGATTGACAATTATTGACACAATTGCCGTAGTCTAATGCTTAGACCTGTGCTACTAATATATAAGTAATAAATAGTTTATTTGGTTTGATCAATGCCTTATAATGAAGAGAAGATTAGTGTGGTACCTGGTATCT